AGCAAGGCGCGGGTAATTTGACTAGGAGTTTGCTATAAGTTTACATGTATACGGTACCCAACTCCCAAATCAGTATTTTTTTAATAATTTCAAACAGAAAGGTAACAAAGATACTAAGATGCAAAGGGGGGTTACTAAGCGTCAAAGAATATAAGAAAAAGAAAACATTATTAAGGAGAGAGAACAATGAAAGAACAGTCTTCAGGAAGACAGGAGATAACGATTGACATTGCTTTTAGAATTTTGATGATGAAAATTAACTGCAAAGCACCAATACGGAAGAGAGTTTCACAAACGAGAAGTGCGATAAAAGCTTATAACTTACGGTTATATCTAGTCCTTTTTAATTGTAAAATAAATGAGACCTCACCGCCAATCTAGTACTGCGCTTAAATTCATAAAGTTTAGGTACCATAGAGGAAAGGTCATCAGAAATATTACCATGAAAATATTTATAGAAAAGCTACGGGGAAGCTGCGTTACAGTGGTGAGAAAATAACTGAAGTCGAGATGCCATATTAAGATCAGTAACATTGCAGATTCTTCTTTGCATTATATCAACAATCTCTAAATACATCGCAGAGTAGTGATCAATCGGACTTTCAGGCTAGTTAATAATCAACACTTTGGTGCCCTGCACACATAATCCTTTGTTATATATTTATTATAAGTTATTTAACTCATTCTTGAGTTTTTCTTGGTGCCTCTGTTTATTTGCAAAGTTTTCTAGTGAAAATAAATTCAATAGTATACAGATTTTTTTTTTTTTTGCTACTAAACCAAAGAGGAAATGCTAAATGTTCATTCGCTCAAGTAAAAACTACAGCCTGTGAAATTCGAGCTCGCAGCCGGTACTTGGATACTGTATGTCTACCCCAGTCTCGCTATTATCTTGTCATGCAGCCTTGAAGGTCTGGAATCTCTGTAGTAAATTGCAGAAAAATATCGTATAATTACCGGTTATATCAGGTCATCCCATAAGTTTTGTCCGAATTTTGAATAAAGAAAACAAGTGACCAAATGTTACATTTAATTACACATTCAATCAACAATGTATTTTCCCTGATTATCTATGACTTCCTTCCATCTATTAATACGCTTACTAATTCCATTACTGTAAAATTCTTTTGGCTTTGATTCAAAAAACTCAAAAATGTCAGTTTTAACCTCTTCCTGTGTTACAAAGCTGTTTCTTCCAAATGATTCTGTAAGCTACGAAACAAATGGTAGTCTGAAGGAGTAAGATCCGGAGAATAAGGTGGATGAGGAATTTTCTCCCAACCAAGTTCTTCGATCTTTTGTGACGTGATTCTTGCTGTGTGGGGTCGCGCATTGTCCTGATGAAACATCACCACTTTTCGATTTAATAGAGCAGGTCTTTTTTTCAAAGCTTGGTTCAAAACTCTAATTGCTGACAGTATACTTGAGCATTAATTGTTGCATTAGGTGGTAAGAATTCAAAGTGGATTGAAAGAAGAATCTTTTGCCCACGAAGTTCCCTTCTCGGCTGTGGCTGGGGTCCTTCCCCTTTACCAAGCCACTGTCTCCGACGCTTAACATTTCGATAAAGATCCATTTTTTCGTCCCCAGTCACAAGTCTATCCAAAAACGTGAAAAAAGTTGGCGAAATGGAGAAAGAGGAGATGTCAACTCAGGATTTGAGGTTGTTTTCAGACAATTCATGAGGCACCCATTTTCCAAGTTTAGGAATTTTTCCAAGTTGTTGAAGATAACGATGAACAGTTGTATGATTTGAATTGAGAACCACTGCTAATTCCTCAACTGATAAAGCAGAATTTTCTTCAAGGGCTGCTTCAAGAAGCTTTTCATCAAATTCAACTGGACGTCCGGTTCGATCTTCATCTTCAAGGGTGAAATCTCCACCTCTGAATTTTGCAAACCATCTTCTGCAAGTTCTTTAATTCACACATTCCTCTCCATAAACTGAGTGAATGTTTCTAGCCGCTTTGGCTGCTGAGTTTCCTTTCTTGAACTCAGAAAGCATTATGTGCCTCAAATGATTCTTGGGTACTTCCATGTTAGTAGGGTTTTAATCAAACAAAATTTAATTTTATTGTTCTCTAAAATAAAATTTGATCAGTTTAAATGCATCTAAACATAAAAATAATGTTCATCTCCATTAGACATTATACAATACTCTTTAAATTTCGTTCATTTTAACAAAAAGTTAAAATTCGGACAAGACTTATGGGATGAACTGATAGCATCTATAAGAATTTGGCACTGATAAATCCTTGGTCTGACCCAATACCCAAAATCAGTTTCTCAATCACAAACATCAAAATTCTAGTTTCGACTAATTGATCAGGTTGAGCTTTTTCAGTAAACCATACTTTTTTACTCGAATTATTCGGATGTATGAAAAATTATCTTCTTTTTCATATCTTTATTCCAAAGCTTATTTCCTATACAGATCTAAAAACTGTGACTCCGTAATATTATTAATTTTATTATTATATATTAATCTTCATCAAAAGTATTTTCGTTTTTTTGGGGTTTTTTTTTTTTGTTTCAGAGCTTTACTTCAAAGGGGATTTCATGCACACATTTAAAGACTATGAGTTCACAATACTATTAATGTTA